AACTGCTCTTCTGTTGAGGTTTTGGGCACCACTGGCTGGGTAGCCAGCGGCGGAACAGAAAAAAACAGGAACAAAGGTTTCTCCACCCGGCCCTCCGCTGGGGGAAGGAGTGGTGTGGTCACCATTTCCTGAAGAGCCGGATCCAAGACCCCCGGGTCGCCCGTCCCAGGGACGCCGCCCGCCCTGGCGCATCACGGGCTTGGCAGGGGCGGAGACGGGCTGCTTCTGCTTTCCTGCAGCCAGCTCCACGGTGCGGCTGTTGTCCAGCTGCTGCGGCTGAGCTGGAGCGGAGAAGGAGACCACAGGAGGGCGCTCTCGGCGACGAGCAAACAGAGGGGCTGCAGCCAGCGGTGGGGTGGCTACAGCAGCCGACCGCCAGGGCAGGATGCGTAGAGATGCCTCCGTCTGCTTCCGTGTGGCGGAGAACTGTTGGGCAGAGCCCTCCACAGCTTCGAGGCCACAGGAGGGCGCTCTCGGCGATAAGCAGACAGAGGGGCTGCAGCCTGCGGTGGGGTGGCTACAGCAGCCGACCGCCAGGGCAGGATGCGTAGAGATGCCTCCGTCTGCTTCCGTGTGGCGGAGAACTGTTGGGCAGATCCCTCCACCGCTTCGCCGAATAGGCCGGCCTGGGAGATCGGGGAGTCCAGGAAGCGATGCTTGTCGGCCTCCCTCATATCCGCCAAGGTTAGCCATAGGTGGCGCTCTTGGACCACCAATGTGTACATCGTCTGACCCAGGGCCCGCGCCGTGACTTTCGTCGCCCTAAGCGCGAGGTCCGTCGCGGTGCACAGTTCCTGCAGCACACCTGGGTCAGCACCACCCTCGAGCAACTGCTTCAACGCTTTGGCCTGGTGGACTTGCAGGAGGGCCATGGCATGCAGGGCGGAAGGGGCCTGTCCAGCAGCGCTGTAAGCCTTAGCCGTCAGAGTGGGCAAGAACTTACAGGCCCTGGACGGAAGGCGTGGACTACTCCTCCAGGCGGCGGCGCTTTGTGGGCAGAGCTGCATGGCAATAGCGCGCTCAACCGGAGGGATGTCCACATACCCTTGGGCCGCCCCCCCCGTCGAGGGTGGTGAGGACGGAGGAGGCACCAAGCCTGTTTCGGGCAGAAAAAGGTGCCTTCCAAGACTTAGTAACCTCCTCATGCACTTCCGGGAAGAATGGAACCGGAGGCGGCTGCCGATGCCCGGCCTGCGCCCCCAGGAACCAATCATCCAGCCTCGAGCGTTCGGGAGAAGGAGGAGGCCTCCAGTGCAGCCCGACACTCTCGGTGGCCCGGGAAAGCATAGCGGTCAGCTCTGGATCTGACTCGGGCAACGCCACTCTACCTGACGGTGGCAGCGCAGCCGAATCGTCATCTCCAGAGCCTAGCTCGCGCTCCGATGCAGCGATCGACAGCCTATCCTCTGCCTGTGTCCCACACAAGATGCTGGACCCCGCCCTGTCCGAGGACCCAGGGTGATTGGGCTCTCGAGATCCCAATTCGTCAGTCACTGACGTAACGTAGAATGTGACTGACTGAATGGGAACTAATGATTCGAAAGACTCGTGAGATGAACTAATCAATTCTCTTTCCGGCTCAGACTGCATAAGTTAAAGCGTATGGGGCTGTCACGTGATGAACGAACAACTCAAACCTGAAGACTTGTCAGATAAGAGGTTGTGAGCTAATCATAGACTGAAGACCCAGGTAAACAATGAATTCATCTTTTCTGTTTCTTATAGCAGTTTTGTATTGTTTGTAGTGTGATCAACGTTTGCGTAAGTAGTAGATGTGTTAAGGAAGTAACACGTAACATTTTAATTATATTTCGCTAAAATGAACGGAATGACTCGAAAAAAGATTCGTTAATTTTGCTGAACAAGACTCAAAGGTCCGAGTCGGTAAAATGATCCTTACTTCCCATCACTACTTCTTATGTAAATCTTGTGCATGCAAAAGACCACTGAAAAATAGGCGAATCAGAACATAACACCGACTGTGACGTTACAGTCGGGATCACTAATAGTTACGCCCCCAATATTTGCATATACCCGCCCATGTTCTATGCCAGCCGCCAGCCAAACCTGCACAACCGAATCATCAGAAGTTCTGCAGGTATTGTGAAGAAACAAGCAAGGATAATAGTGAAAAAGGCAGATCATGGAAATAAATGTTATGTTCCAGGCTGTGCAGGGGATGTGATGTGCAGGGATGGGTTGGTGTCTGTATTCAGAAAGGCATGGAAAACAAATAACACGCATTCTAATAAAATAACGCGAGCCACTAAAGGGACATGGTTAGATGCTTGCTAGCGGTAGCCTGTTACAGGACATAAGATTTCACTTGCCACATAAACAGAGTAAGGAGAGATGACTGAGGACGATGGCAAATGATTTACAGATCCTGAGCACCACTGATAAGCATCTGATCTTGTAAAATGTGTGGTAAGTACTGCCGCTGTAGTTTACACAGAGTACGTGCGATCGCATATCTCGAAAGTGAAAGTAAAAAGCGATCGTGCTTTCGAATATATTAATAGCGGCTCCCTGATGCCCGCATTTTATATACAGTATAAATTCCCAACGATATAACTGCGAGAGAGAGTATTGAAATATATATTGTCCCTGTGTTTCCTTCATGCTGTGTGAGCTACTGAAATGAGCCACACTGTGAAACAGCCAATCAGAGCAGAGCTCAACATTATTGCTCATGACCCTTCCAAATAAGGTAAAAACAGGCCATTTCATTCTAGGGACAAATCCTAACGTTGTAAATGGACATGTAAAACCGTTTCTGGATATTTTTTGCCCTTACCTAAGCCACATACCTTCTATGTAGATATCAGAGAACAACTTAAAATATTGTATCAATGCATTCTATGGCACCTTTAATAATTATAGAATAAACATTACTACTCTACCTTGACTAGACTTTTTGTTTTTTTAATGAGGTGTTACTCGCTGGCACAATGCAAGGGTGTTCTAAGTGGTTGCCAGGACATTTCTATGCATTTGCTAAGGTTTTGATTGGATTGCCTACAGATGGCTACTTCCCGGACCAAGTTAAAATAGCCATTCCATGGGTTTCGCCCTGTTACAAATGGCACATTTAGTGTGTACTTGTGAACTTGAGGTGTTGTCGGTTGCATGCTAGTGTCCAGTGAGTCTTTTTTTTTTATTCATGATATCGCATTTGTAATTTTAGGTTTCAGAAGGGTCCAAAGCAGACTACTACCCTACATTAGTGCCATTTTGTCTTCAAAGTGTGGACTTTGAGGAGGAACACAAGGCCTTAGGCCAGCATGGTTCAGGGTTTTTGTAGGTCTGATGATCTGGGCTGCTTTGCCAATCATTTTGAGACTAAGTTGTTTGTAGAGACCATTTCCACTCCAGTGTTAGGGTTTTGTTGAATAATAATCATAATATCAAAATCGTAGTCTCAGGAGATGCCTCAGAATAGTGATAGTAACTTACCAGATCCTGAACCAGAAGTGAAGTCATCATCATCTAAAGGATAGTCACCAGACTGCTGGTCATCCAAATAGATGTCATCAGTTGAGGCAGGGGACTGACCGGAGACCAGTACCTGCACAGGTAAATACAAACAGAACATTCAGAGCCAAAATGTCCAATTTAATCACAAAAGTATCTGAAAATCGAATGAACTTGCTTGAAAGAAAAATGTTTAGTCATTCCCATACATATGAAATGATCTTAAAGAAATCTTCACAGTTACAAAAAAAAGGTACACCACTTAAGTACCATTAACATATCAAATAAAACCTCTTTTTCCATTTCTAAACAACACAGAAGAAAATCTTGGCTGATTTTGCTTTATGCTGAAGACATAAACAACAAAAACGCCTGCCCAAGGTTCCTCCCACTTCTGTTTCCCTGGAAACAACCTCAAAGGGAAGTAATGTTTGATTCGCTTCCTCAGGAGAAAACTCTGAAAGTAGGGCTGCACGATTATGACAAAAATCATAATTGTTGATTATTCCCTTGAAATTGTAATTAATTACGATTATCACAATTTACATTGAATGATGTTTACACCATTGTTTTATGCAACTGCATGCCGTATTTTTATATGAAAATAAACAAGTTAAAAACACTAACTGAAAAACTCTAACCTTTATTGCTTTTCTATAGTATTAAGCCTCAAATGTCAACTAAACATCGGATTGGTTTCTTCTTTAAATTATAAAAAAGTAAAAATGATGAATGGTATTATAATGTTATACTAAAATTAAAATAATGGGGAAAACCCTTACTTACCATGTAGAAAGAAAAAAACGCATCTTAAGCACGCAGAATAACATAAGTGGATTAATTGCCGCTTTGAACGATTTCGTAATTGTGGCATCCATAATTGTAATCGCTCTTAGAAATTCGATTAATTGTGCAGTCCTATCTGAACGCTCTCTGGCCCACTAAAACGGTGCTAAAAACCAATCTAAAAGTCAGCATCTGCCATTTCTCTACACATTGTGGAGGTTACAAAAGGTTTATCACTCTGAAGTAATACTTTAAGGTTGAGGGGGGTTCAAACGGACAGACACGGTCTAGCAAACAAATGCAAGAGGCTATCATTGTTGTCAAGAGAGAAGGGCAGATGGACCACTGTCTATTTGCAAAACCTATGATCCTTTATTTCTCGCCGTGTTGGTATCACATCCTCCAGTGTCCTTGTCATCTCCCACAGACTTCACCACTCATGCTCGCTCGGGCTCAGCCGTCTCTGATCTTTTCTATCCATATGAACCCTTCAGCAAATCACAATGCACCACCAACAGGACCAGTCACAATAACAGCGGGCCACGCTTTGTGCACCTATGTGTGATTGTATTTCTTATATTGTAGAGGGCAAACAATGAATTGAAGCACTGATATTGTCTGTATATGTGCGTATATTTGATTAAAGTCTACAAGAGCGCCAATGGATCCGACAATGAGATTGGATAATACTCCAAGCACCTTTGTGTGTAATCCGAATCCTCCTATTCACCCGTATGATAAATAATGGCACTCAGGTGATAAGGTTAAATTTTATAGCGGTTACTCATGCAGGATAAAAACCCAGAAAGAACGAAGAGGTTGGATTCAAAGCCTGTACAATAACAGGAGGCTGGAGCGGGTGCTGTTTTCAGAGGCACTGAGGGGGAGATTAAACGGGACTTGAAAGCCAATGGAAGACTAAATAAAGCAATAGAAGTGCCAGAGCCTATGATCAGCCTGTGATCAGCCGAGGGTCCTGTTCGGGGCATCTCAAACATACATCAGCCTCTGTTTGTCTCTTCACATTTTTCATAGTCTCCTCACAAAGCAAAGGCTTTCATTAGGCATCATCGCTCACCGTGACAGAGAACACACAGGAAGACGGGATACAAAAACCCTGTTTAACCTCGACAGCTTACAATAACTGAACTTGAGTGACATAAGGGCTGTGTGTGAAACCTAAGGCAGCTGTCCAGACAGTCAGTGACTAAACAGCCAGTGTTTGTGTATGAAGGTTTCTAAGCAAATTGCTTTCAGACAGACTTCAAAAGCAACGTAATGTCATCTCAGTGATCTAGCACAAATTCATGTGAGCTTTAGACATATCTGCAAATATTTAACAACTACAATGCTTTTGTCCAGGAAAGTTTAAAAAGGGAAAAACAAAAATCAGCCTTTTTTTTTTTTTTTTGTAGACAGGAAGCACAAACAGTGGATCTGAATGTGCCTTGATGTCTTCCTGCTCAGTAAAAAGTGTAGGACAGGCCGTAAGGAGCTACAGTATTTCTACCTGATCCAGATAATTCACTCAAAATGAAAACTCTCTCATCATTTACACATAAGAAACATTTTAAAGAATGCAGAAAACCAAGCAACATTGGACCCCATTGACTTCTATTGTATGGACAAGAAAAATGACATTTATCAAAATATCTTCCTTTAAGTTCCACAGAAGAAAGAAAGTAAGCTTTGAAATGACATGAGGGCGAGTAAAAGATGACCGAATTTAAATTTTTTGGTGAACTATCCCTTTAGGAGCTATTTTTTCCTGATCTGACCTTTAAAAACTACTTCTGTTTATGTACCTTAATGTTGTCAGTTGAATCAATTATATGAATCATATTCC